TCTCTCTCTCTCTCTCTCTCTCTCTCTCTCTCTCTCTCTCTCTCTCAAAAATTAATTTCTAAAATGATTATATTTTATCTTTATTATTATTTTTATTTCATAAAAATTAATACAAAACATTGTAATCATAGACAAAGACGCCTTTCAAACACCCACACAGTTAAAAAATACAGTTACTGAAAAAAATGATTTTCAAAATTTGACGTCTGTAGACATGTTTTTATGTTGCAGGAATTGACACAGCTACAGAGTGAACATGAGTTGAATTATACCACTTTAAAACAGAAGATAATCTCTACAGAGTAAGTATTAATACATATCAACTGACAATACTTCATCCAGACTGTTTACCTAAGACTCTCTAGCAACACTAATATTAATTTGAAAAGTATGTTTTTATCAAATTTAAGATACAGAACTCCATAAGTGGATAATCTTTCCCCCTAGTGATTGCCCCATACTCTAACATTTTGTAACTATTATTTAGCACTAGTCTCTCTTACTGGTGAACCTTATAAAATTACACTTACTAATCTGAATCAGGATTAACATGATCAAGATAAAATTCATAGACAGTGGGAAAGTTAAATCTAAAATAATTATTTTAGTGTTTAATGTTCCATTACAGCAACCATTTGCACAGTTCATCTCAGATTGTTTATTGACATTATTTCCTTTTCCAGTTTGCTGATCAAGAAGTTCAGTTCCAAGTGTCAAGATATCCTTTTTCTGTTATATTTTATTTGATCTTATTATATACAGCACATAATCTTTTAACACTGGTTGTTAAGAATGTGTAAAGAAAGATATTCTCATTGATAGATATAATAATTATAAATAACCACAAACTTCATAACTTTGTAGTGTTTAGCTTGGAACAGTTCATGACAGTGCAGTTTTTGGAATAGTTCTACTTGTACAAAAATATGGTGGCTTTAAGGGAACAGTAGGAACATTTTATCTATTATCTTTGTTCACACGTATTCTTTATTTAGCTACAGTGGCCACAGTCATCCTAAATGATCTGAAAAGATAAAGGGAGATGTTTAACTAGATGCAAAGAGTAGTGAGGTGTAGTATGTCAAATCAATATAAGTATAGGATTTTAGAATAGGAAATGATAGCATGTGGTATACTTTAGTAAAGTCATCTTGAGGGTATTTGAAATTAGTGAATAATTACCATAAATCTGGCACTTCTATATGACCTTGACTCCTGCCGCACAATATGAGGCTCAGGGCAGAAAGCTGGAAGAGGTCTCCAAGTTACTGGAGACATATCAAAGGTAGGTATTGGAGGATTTTTTTTTTTTAGGTGGAGGATTGAAGACAGGTCCCATAGGTGTGTGCACTTTACAATTTTCATCATCATCATCACTATCATCGCTCTGTTCCATTCTTGTCTTTATGATTTTTGATTGAAGCTTTGGTGTCTATTATGCAATATATTGATCCATTTACGTTCAGTCAGTAGCCGTGCAGTTGTACAGTCAATAAATCATTTAATTAGAGAGAATGAAATGTATTATACCACATTCCATTAGATATACCATGGATCTATACAGATTGAACCATCCCAACATATTCAACTAAAAATCATATCTATAGAAATTTAATGGAATAGAACCTAACTGTTTGTGGATTTTATGGAGACTGTGAAATATGGAGTATTATGATAATAACTATGTATGATTTAAAACTGTTAGAGGAATTGAACATGGCAAGTTTGAAAACAAAAATCATTTTATATTATTATATATTTTGGTTTCCAGAGACTGTGGCAGCCTGGAAGCCAGACTGATGACTTCATTACAGGAACTGGAGCCACTGAAAGAGGTAAGTGGGTTGTGGTATTGTATATTGGGATAATTCAAACTTTTGGAGGTATTATAAAGTGGGTTTTGGCATGGTATTGTGATAACGTAAACCTTGGAAAGAAGTAAGTGGGTTTTGGTATGGTATATTGTAATAATTCAAACTTTTGGAGGTATTATGAAGTGGGTTTTGGTATGGTATTGTGATAAAGTAAACCTCCGTTAGAAGTAAGTGGGTTTTGTTTGTCATATTGTTATTAATAATGTAAACCTCTGAAAGTATTAAGTGGGTTTTGGTGTTGTATTGTGGTAACATAAACCTTGCAAAAAATGAATAATGATTTTGTCGCTGTGATAATATAACTTTCAAACTGTAAAAGATGTAAGTGGATATTGTCGTCCTTACCACGGGTACATACTGTAATATTAACCACTGAAAGAAGCTAGTGGCTATTGTTATTGTCACTGTAAAGTAATAATGTTAAACAAAAACAAACAAACAAACAAACAAACAAAAAAAAACAAGTGGATATTGTTACTGTGACTGTGTTATTGTTATCCCCTGAAAGATGTGAGTGAATAATGCCACTGTGATAATGCAGAGTTAATTACTAGTACAGCTAAAATATCTCTATAATGTTAGTCCTTAAAGCAAGTATATATATATATATATATAATGAGTTGACATTTTTAAAAAGGCACTCATTTAGCAATATTTTTTTTTAAATCATTGTAGGCTAGGACACGGCTGGAGAAAAGTAAAGCAAAACTGGAGAAAGAAGTTCAGAATCTGCGAGACAAATTAACAGCTGCTGAGGTAATACATTGTGAAAGAGTTGATGACAGCAAAATAATTTGATACTGCTCTGTTCATTCTAGTATTTAATATCAAAAGGGCCTATTAACAAGCAGCTGATGAGTCTTCAGTGAAAAAAAAAACATTGCAGAATCTGATGAAGTAATTCATTAAAAGCTTTTTACAGAAAGGACAAGGCTGGGTTTCAGAATTGATGGAAAATTAATGGGTTAAGCATATAGTCTAGTATGTAAAACATTTTTTTCAGGAAATGATGTTTTCTTTGATTTTGAATTTTAATGTAGTTCTCAAAAATATTTTATGCCTTTTTAACTCATTTGTAATTTAAACAATTTTTTTATCTGAAGTTACTGAAACACTTAACTTTTCATTGGAAATAAAATATAATCATTATTCTCATTGTCTAGGTTACATGTAGGCAGTTCTCCCAAGCAAACGAAGAGTTGATGAAACAACAGAAAGAGACAGCTGAGGGAGTCCAAAAAAACACCAATAAGAAAATCCAGATTTTGGAATCAAGGTAAGCAGATCTAGAGATATGGCATATTGCACAGGTTTTTTACTAAGATATGACAAAGAAAATTTATCCAAGAATTCTTGAGCTGTTATATTGAGAGTAACAGTTTCTGGAAAGAGGGGGTGGGGGTGGGGGGTCTTTCTGGCTTTTGCTTTTATCAGGAAGATCTAGAATTACATGATGCAAGTGTTTGGTTATTTTATGATGAATTATAGAATTTATTTATTTAAAGTATATGAAAGAAAATGTATTAATTTTTTCTTTAGCATTAAGAAGAAAGATGAGACCATAAGCAAGGTAAAAGGTATGTAATATGAATTTTTTTATGTGTTTAAAAACTTCACAATATATATTAGGTCATATAAAAGCATTAAAAGGCACATGAAAGTTTAATAACTATGGGATCTTCATTGTGTCACAGTTTACTGAGGTCCCACAGTGTATTATCCATGATATTAAAGTTGAAGCAAATTGGTGCCTGCTGTCATTGTACCTTATCTCACGGTATTTTACTGTGTTCATGTATTCTTTCTTTTTAATCTTAGACCCCATTCCCATACCTAGATCAATCCAACAAGATCGACCCATCTCCACGGGGTTTCTCACTAAATTGCTTGTAGCTTAAGTGGATTATATATCTGGCACACCTACTGAAACTGCTAAACAATAGTTAATTACCCCCTAACAGCATCAGTAGGCAGGCCAGACATCAGAGCTTCATAAGCTGAAAGCAATTTGGTGAGAAAGCTCTCGGAGATGGGTAGATCTTGCTAGATCGATCTTGGTATGGGAACCAGGTCTTAGTCTCAGAGATTTGGCTGGAACCCCACAGTGCATTTTCATATTGATGCAATACTATATTTGGTAACTGTTGTCTGTTTATATGAATCAATCACATTTAAATTTTAATACTAGTCATTGATAAAAATATGCATTCCTGAGTGGATTCCATCATGTTTTATGGTTATTGCTGGAGATATATATGAGAGAGAGTTGCAGTAGGCAGACTATTCGTGAAAAACTTGTGGGCAATGGTCCTATTATGAGGTTGAGTTATCACAAGGATTTCAGTTTTCTCTTCACCATTGTGATAGGAATATAAAGTTCATTTTGTCTAAAACTGAAAGTCTGACAATATCATCCCAGTTATTGGCCTATTCCTGATTGTGAGCACAGCAAATCAAAATGCTATCTCACATTCTCAGTTAAAGCCTTCAGCTTTTTAAACTGTTTCTGCTGTTTAACATGGTGGGTGAGGGTACACGTCAGCCATATTGCCATACACACGGCTAAAGTGGTGCCAATAATGATGCTTTCTAAAATATAGTCCGGCATGACGAACACTTTCACAACCGCCAGTGCCTCATTTACCAGGTCTGCTGTCTTACACACATAATCCCCAGAATCTGCAAGTTCGGCGTTGCGAATGATGAGACGGCCATCTTGGAATGTCTGAATATGTGAGGTGTTGTCCCCTGGTGAGATGAGTGTATCGTTATATCCGTCTGGGTCAAATGGCATGCGCCTGTACCACCTCAAGGTCACATTCTCGGGCCCGTGAAAGTTGCATTTTATGTGGTAGTCAGCAGTGCCATTTTCTATAGGGTTTTTCCGGGGACATGTCGTCAGGTTCTTGAAATATTCCGGCCAGTCATAATGACACTGTGCAGAGCATGATGGGATTGCCGTCATGGCTATCAGTACAAGACCCAGCAAAAGTCTTATTAAAGCTGTGGTCTCCATGGAATTCATCTGAAGTATTGGTTTTATGGTTAGTTTGAGACACTGGAAAATAGTTGAATGGCTTGATGAGTTAATTAAATCACATAATTGAATAAAATTCTGTTCCTTCTTAATTGGACAAGTAATGCTTCGAGAAGCACTGTATTGTCAGTGATATGAGCATGCATTAAAGGAGATAATTCAATCATTTACCCATTTAATATTTATTTATTTATTTACTTTTGGAAACAAAAATTATCTGTTGACTAATACATTAAAATCCACATGACAAATAAACTTACAGCAATTCATATTTTCATGCATAACTTTGTCAAATATCATTATTTGAACTGTAACAGTAACTTTTGTTTATACATTTTGTAACCTGTGAGTTTTCATCTTCCATTTCATTGACCAAAGGTTTAATGAAGTAGATATATATATTTTTGTATTTGTTCTGGTGTGGGAGTGATGTCAGCCCTATATAATACTAGTATATATCTCCTCAGATATTATGGTATGGGAAAAATGGTCATTTACTGAGTACAGACTCTTTAATCTGATTGGTTTGATATCTGTGGCGTCAACTCTAGATAGAAGACATTCTCACTGTCTGACACTATTTTTACTACTGTGACCCTCCTGCCACCATGGTAGTAGAAATTAATGGCTCATAGCAGAAACAGACTGGCAAGTAACTGAACACATTTGCAAAATGAATTAAATGTGTCTTGAAAAATTCCCAATCAAAGTACTGATGTTCTTGATAGGCATTGAAATATTGGAGGTAAACAACACCTTCAATATAATATTGAGTGAAAAAAAATCAGTTACTGTAAGAGTTACTTATTTTAAGTTATTCTTTGTATCTGTCTTGGTATGGTCTCAGTGTACTAAATACTTATTATAAACCTTTTTTATTATTTTGAGAAGTTTAGTCACCTGCTAAGGACATAAAGTTGTGCCCTGTATTTAGGTCAAGCCCTACAATCATGCACTTGAGTCAAATCCCATTGTTGCTCAAGTAGACAATCATTTCTGCCCCCCCCCCCCCCCGATGAGGGTGAGTAACAGTCTAGGAAGTGATGATTTAAAGGAACATCCATGCAGATAATGTCTTAAATTTGTTAGGGAGATTGGCGATGTTACTGTTGACTTAATTGAATTTTTAGTGGAATATATAATATGCAGACAAGTGAAATACATAACTATAATAATATAATTTTGTCAGTGTCTGATTTCTGTCTGACACTGAGAAACACTGGAAGGCAGACCTTCCGTGCACCCAAATATAAACATAAATTGTGACATTGTTTTTATAAAAGTGCATGAGAAGATCACCTCCACGGCTGTACAGTGACTCAGCTTACCAAAAAAAAAAAGTTTTATTTAATTACTGTACTAGATAAAGACACTGATGTGTCCAGTCTGTGTTTATATTATCATGTTACTTACACAAAGTTGAAACATTTTTGGTGTCTGTGACTCAATTTTATGAAATAATCCACTAATTTAAAATCAGTGCTCTCTAACTCTCTGGTGCACCCAGTGATTTGTAAGTCACAATACCCACCTCCATCTAGTTTTTTTTTTTTTTTTTTCAATTGGAGTCAGAATTAAGTTCCCCTTAAATCAAAAACTAGCCCCAAGCATAACAAGTCCTTACCTGCCCTGCTATATATACATGTATGTGTGCCTGTGCCTTGACATCCACAGACTGTCGCTGCTGTCCTTAGAGATAGATGTTGCTGACACTGTACCTGTTACGATATTATCACGTGCTCTAGTTATCAGACCTCTGGCAGTGATAACCAGATTGAACAAGTTTAGGGTCAACTTGAAGCACGTGACAGATAATAATGGATTGGGTCAAATATATATGGGATTTCCATCAGGCAGGAATGTTTGTTTTGGTGATTGGTGTTGTGGGTTGAATATATGGGACTTTCATTGACCAAGGATAGAGATGGGGGAGTCAGAGTCACGGTTGGGCCAAATAGGTCCTCTCCCTTTATTTTTAGGATTTTATTTATAGTCTAGGATGTAATTATCTTTGACTGTAAACAGATTGATTAAGAATTATTTTTAGTTAGCGAGCTAGATTTTATATTCGATAGCTTTGGTCAATTATCATGATATGTATTGACTTTATAGTTATTACAATAAGTGGGTTTTCTTATTTAGTATCTGTTTATATTCCTGTTATAATATTGTAACATTTGATACCTTGATTGACATGGCATTCCATTCACAGAAAAATGGAAGAAATAAAAAAGCATATGGGTATAAAAATGTTTGATATCATGGATATTTTTTCATCTTAGTCATGATTTAAGGTTGGGTTGAATATATAATATATCCATTTTTGAAAATGTGCCAATTTTAAAGTCATGATATTTATTCACTCTGCACATCACTCTGCATATCCTGCATTGAAGCTAGCTGTCTTTCCTAATTTAGACTCTGAATATTATAAAACCTCTCAAGTGAAAGTAGCTGTTGTCATTATTTCCTTTTAAAATGTATACGAAGACATGCCAGTGTAAGTTACTGGCAATCATGTAGAACTTAATCATTTCATTAGAAACAGTATGCAATGAAGAAACCTTGCAAGTGCAGAGACCAGTAAAGCAATGATTAGAGTAGGAGAAAGATCAACATAAAATAAAGAATCCAAGTACAAGGAGACATTGAGCAAAGATACAAGAAGGAGGTAGAAAATTTTGTTGATATTAAAAGCTGAATTTGAGTAAAAATCATGGATGGGATACGTCAAAATGCATTAATTTATATTTTCACTTTTGTTTTCCAGGTGAGAGCAGCAGCCTGAGAAGTGCCCTGGCCAAGGAGAGGAGTGCTCACAAACGGCTGTCACAGTCCTTTGAGAAAAACAAGGTGAGTGCTGCTATATTGATTTCAGTGAAAATTGTTTGTGCACAAAAATTGGGTGATATTCTTTTCCTTCTAATAATGGTAATGTGCTGTATTTATTCCTATTTCATGCATCCCATATGAAGTTAATAAGTTTCCCAGGGAATAAAATTTAATGCAAAAATTCAGTGATGATCTATTTTACCACTAAAATTCAGTGATATTCTGTTCTTAATATTGAAAAAATAATGAGCTGCATTTTGATTTGATGGATCTCGTATAAACTAATCAATATCCCCAATAATAGAAGAAATATATGATTCTGACAAATTGCCCCTAAGGGAAAGTCTTTGAATATTGATGTCAAGATGATTGAACCTAATCTAGGCTCATTACTGTGAAGTGGTACAGTAAATTTGAGTAGAACTGGTGTGTTTTTAGCTAGAAAAAGCTGCTGATGCACACCTTCAAGGCAACTTAGGATGCCTTCAAATGATTGATATATATTTTTGCACAGCAGAAGTGTTATTCGAGTGAAGGATGTGTTTGTGTGTGTTTGTTCACATATAAAAGGTTTAGATCATAGGATGAGAAAAAAAACTAGCACTTTAAAGTAGATGTTTTGTCAACTCAATGAAGCCCACTTCTAAGGCACTAAAACTCATGGCACAGTTCTGTTACAGTTCTGTTACAGTGGTAAATACATTACATATAAAGGATTAAACATGGCATTGCCTTTGAGACAAGAATAGTTGATCTCATTAAAAAAAAACATAGAGTAAATACCATATAATGGATTCAGCTATATATTGAATACATGCTCAATATATCCCTAAAAGATCAGGAGGTTTTGTATGGGCATTCTTGGTTAAAACTTATTCAAATAAATAAAAATATTCTACATACATATGACCACTGACAATTTGTAACAATAATATTTTTAATTTAATTTTGTACTGTGCCAATTATATCCATTATTAATTGGATTTACTGCTGAAGGACTTAGTCTATCCATGTTGAAGTTGATTGATATTCATTTTGATGGTATTTGTCCCTGAAAGGTCAAGCAGAATTATTCCATTTAATTTGCAAATTTGATCATGCAGCATAAGGTTTATTATTGTTGTTTGGCCATATTATGAGTCTAATTTTAGAAGTTATTTTCTCTTCGTTCTCATGTACAATTTCGCCAAAAAACTGCTTAATATTTTCTATTTAATTTTGTAATTCTTCTAGTGTTTCATAAATAAGCAAATGCAGCCCATTTTTGTTTCAAGCAAGTTGCTAAAACATTTATTCACATTGATTAAAATGAAAATTTCAGCAATAAAAAACATACCACCATATTTGTTCTTTATATAAACATTTAACATTCATCTTTCCTTCTACCAACCCCCCCCCCCCCCATTTTCTTCTTTTTTTTTCCTTTCTTTTTGTTTCTTTTTTATTTTATTACCTCATGTATAGAGGACAGTCCATCACCCCTGTCTTCCCTTGCCACCAAGTATTGTAATGACTCAGATGTTTTCAATGGGTAAAAATTATCAAATTTTCAGATACAGAATTTTATGTCTTAATGTATAGAAATTATGGCTTAATAAATACAGAATCTGTAAAATTCACAATTTTCTCCCATTGAAAAGATTGTAATTACTATTTTGCTTATTTATATATAACATTTTACATAAATCCTCTTGAAAGCAGCAGTTCTGGTGCATGCAGATAATACATACAAAATGACCTTTAACAGTGATTCCTCTGAAAAAAAGTGCAATTTCAAGCACCACTGGTTAGCTTTGATTGAACAAAATTGCACCTTTCTGCCATATTGTATGATATTACAGGTTCTGTATACTTACAAGCATGAAGCTGAACTAAGAGCCTTGTAATTTATTTATCAGCTGTACAAGAGACATTACTGCTAATGGATATTTACAAGTTTTATTGGTTATGCCTCTGGTTTTTACCTATACCAGTTACTTATATAGGAACTTGTTTCTGTTTGTTGTAAGTATTCCTTTTGTAGGCTATCTAAACTGCTGGGACTTTTTAAGCAGAAATCTTCGAGTATAAATAGCGTGTATCAAAGGAATAATTAAATGAAGAAACACTTGTAGCAGCCACTTGAAAGAACCCTAATCTGATTTAGACTTTTTGTCATGAGAAGCTAGAAAAGAGCAAAGGAATATGTAGAATACACCAGTGAGCCACTTGAGCAAGAAAGCGCATATGATGCTAACAAAAATGAGCACAAGCACCACATCCACCATGTAGTATTCATAAGCTGACATTTCCATCAAGTTTGAACGCAGGTGCTTGCCTCCAAACTGAATAACTAGTTCTGTCAGCTCTGCGGCCCTCTCAGTGGGCCTGTCATGCCTCGCTTTGAATATCGTGCCGGCCATCTTGACGTTGTCTTTAAACTTTGGCTCTTTTATCACACGTTTCATGGCAGCAGTGAGATCCTCTGTTTTGAAATGATGGAGATCAATGGTGATGCTCAGACCTTTGTACTGAGAGCGTGCCGCGTTGTAATGCTGCTCATTGGTGATTGGTAGATTTAACATTGGGACGCCATGATACACAGACTCGAACTGCGCATTAGCTCCGCAGTTAGTAACAAAGAGTTTAACATTCGGATGAGCTAGGACGTCATTCAGTGGGAGCCATTTCTCAATCTTGATATTCTTTGGCAAGGGGACCTCTGAGGGTTTCCCACCAAATCCCCACAACACCTTAAGTGGCCTCATATCTTTTAAAGCATTTACCAATTTCTCAGACACCAGGGGCGGTAGGTAACTGGCAACAGCACCAAACGAAACAATGATTACACCTTCTGTAGAATCATCCAAATACTTCTTAAGGGCTGGCGGGCTGATGGTTCTGGGCTGTCTTGTAGTAAGACCCCCCACATAGATGGTGTTGGGCATGCTGGGAAGGTGGTAATCTACGAGATAGTCTGTATTGATGAGCCATGCTTGGGAGTCAATGGCCAGTTTTCGCAGTGTCACAAATGGTTTCATGACGGCGTGTTTGTGGACCAGCGTGTCCTTGAGAGCTGGCGGGTGTGTGAAACTAAGAAGAATGTCGTCTAGGGTGTTCGACAGACGTTGCTGAAAGTTCATCTCCTCTGTGTGACTGGTCCAAACATTAGGGACAAAAGATGGCAGCACTGGTAACCCAGCTACATATGGATCAACAACAGAAGCCAGGGAGACGTAGGGAATATTAAGACGATATGGCAGGATATAAAGAAACCTGGCAGCCATATCTCCCGATACTATCGCAAGGTCAAATTTTTGCTTTAAGATGTTGTCGCTGAATGTTTGGTCATTCAGCATGGCTTCACCCTCGTCCACATACAGAGCTGTTAGCTTATCCATAGTTTTCCACATCTCGTTGGGATTGTAGATGCAGGCAAATGTCAGATGGTTCTGGAATTCCTCCGACTCCCACTTAAGGTGAGGAGCAGACGATGTGTACTTCATGATGCTCATGCCAGTCTTGTTAAAGCCATCTGGGACTTCTTTAGCTGAGCTAAACACTACAGTCACCTTGTGGCCTCTTTGGGCTAATTCCTGTGCTACGGATTTAAAGATGGCTAAGTGAGTCTGAGTTTGTAGAGGCAGCATTAGGATGCGTCCTGTCTTGGCCCCATGAATTGTGGGTAATGAGGCACAGAGGCATCCCAGAATTATGAAGAAAATGTTTTTGTATTCCATTTTAACTTATTTTTGAGTTATTAGAGGACCTGTAAAAAGAAAAGAAAAAAGAGAGTTTGAAAATATGATTCAGTTTTTCTTTTATACAAAAATTTAACTGAAATCACATAAATGGTACACTTTTCAGTCAATACATGTATAATGTGAAGAAATATTCATAAATAATCTATAGCTGCTACATGTACTGTACTTGTCCTCCAAATAATTTTAAGACATTTTCTTTTATGTAAAAGTCTAATAAAATGCATTCGTAAGTGTATTTGTTTCACTAAAACAAAAGTAAAATTCTAAACTGTCAGTAAAATCGGGTAACTTCCTTTCAAGACCATATTTTATCACCTAAATCAATGGAACTTTCAATTGAAAGTTATTGATCAGGATAACACCTGTTTTTTTTTTAACTGGAAATGGTTTTTCTTCACTATTTTTATGTTTAAAGTTCTTTTAAGACACCCTTTCCACAAAAGAGAAGTATTATTGCATCCAATTAACATTACTTGAAATTTGCCTTGGAGAAAATGTATAGACATTTATAAGTTACTAGTTCTCTACGGGTATATATTTGATTTTTTAATTGGAGTTTAAATGTTTTTTGGTGTTAAACAATTTTAACTACTTACCCAGTTTCATGCAGTTGTGATTTTTATGCTAGGAAGGAGTTATTCTTTTTCCTGGCAGGCTTTCATTTTACATTCTAAAATTAGGTTTTGTCCTTCATTACACAGTAATTTCTCCAGAGAAATGAGCAAAAAAGCTTTTATAGTTATTAATCCATAATCAACAAAGTCCCTATAGAAGCAAGACTAGTCCAGTTTTCCCCCAGAAAAAGATGAAAAAATTGAGGCACATTTGGAATTCCTTTCTCTCCAGAAATCAGTTTTCCCCTCAACACATTTGCACATGCACACACTTGTGCTCGTGCGCGTGCACGTGCGCACACACACATACACACACACACACACACACACACGAGCATACAAACCTCTTTAGGCATCCATTTCACCTAGAGCAGCACCTTCCTTCCTTCCTTAGCTGCTAGAGTGTGCTGTGGTGTACGTTCTCTCTGTCCCAGACACCTTGGATGCCCTTCAAAACAGAGCAAGGCAGCTTCTTCCCACTGTGGGATGGAAAAAGGCAGTTCTTTAGGCTGTGGTCATGAGTTAATAGTTTCTAATGGTACAGGGACCCTATATGAAGTCATGGCATGAATTAAAAAAGAATCAGAAAAGATGGAATGTTTGTTCTGGCACAGTTAGCTGTGTTTAAGCACTAAGGGATTCTATNTTTTTTTTTTTTTTTTTTTTTTTCAAAATCACAATGCTCACTATTCATCCATGTAAAGACTATATTTTTTCCTCTTTGCCTAATTGTGCACAAAAATGTATGGCTATACTCTGAATTGAGCTCCATCTTTTCTAAGCGAAATGAACAGTTAAATGCAGGTGTTCCGTTTGCATGTCTGAAGCGGTTAAATACAAAGAATGTGCAGGAGTGGTGATTTCACTACTTCGAATTGATGTAACATTTCATCACCTTTGAGACAGAAAAAAGGTTGGTCTCAAAGCGATTAGGGGAAGAGAGACACAAAGATATCAGCAAAATATCCCATACAAAGGAGTTTTACTCATTACAGTTGAATGGATTGGGTGTGGGGAATGATTTTACAAAAAGGCAGCACAGAAGAGAATAAGGTCTGAATGTACACAAGCTGGATACTTAAGCATAAACATAAGTTTTACAAGCTACTTTGTGGTTTCTCACCTGCCCTCTCGAAATACAGAAGGGGGAAAATAATTGACCTTACTTCATCCTGTGTTTTCCATCAGTTTTTATGTATTTGCAAATATATATTTTTTTCCCGAAAAATATTAATTGTCTTGCCTTGGCCTTAAGGCACTGAGGGAAAGTGGCAGCTACCAAGTTTGGTTCAACAGAACATTTTTACCTTTGCACATTCTGAGAACTAAAAAGGTGAGAGTCAGTGATACATGCCCCATGTGTCAGGGCGGCCTTTTTGGAGAAGGGGAGATAAAATAGACAGGGAGGAAAATGAGCCTCAAGAGACTGTTTAGCTTATTGGTTAATAGTTTTTAGTCATTTACCAAGTTTGGTGTATTTTTGGTGAGGATTTGGTTTGGATTTGGAATCTGTTTAGAAGAAGGGCTTCGATACCTTAGAGTCCAGAATTGATGGAAAGGGCATATAACATAATATAATATATTACCAGCCTCTACTGATTTTGGTGTGTTGATCTTTTATGTGTGATTGGTCATGACTGCTTCATGGGATTTGTTTTGAATGTATAGAAGTCGTTTTTTAATATAAAATGCTATGCACCCCCCCCTCCCCCCCAGGCATCAAGTTTTCCTAACTCCTGTATTATAGAAAACATTACATTACACAAGGTTTACTCATAATACAGAGTAAATGCTAATGCCTTTAAATGCCCAGTGTACTTTATGTGAGCCCTAGTACATTAAGTCAGTGCAGTTCAACATTTCCTTAACCTTTTCATCAAATTATCCAGGCTAGGGTGAACAACCCCCCCCCCCCCCCCCACACACACACACACACGCAAACAAAAAAAAAATGTGATGAAATATATCATTCCTAGGGGGATGTTTGTATTGCCAACACTCCTAAATGCCATTTTGATATGCCATTTACTGTGTTTGTAAATAAACAACTTAATAAAAAATGGGGTTCTGTTGATCATCCCTTTCCAAATAACAGATATTAGCTGTAATATATAATTATAGTACCTACCTGTACACCATGGAATTAAAAGCCTAGCTCACATCCAGGTAATTTTGTAAGTACTAGGCTTAAAATAAGTCTCTGTGCTTGCAGAAATCACATGTGAAGGTGACCTTACTAATAACTTCTAATTACCTAGATACTTCTTAACAAATGAATATTTGTGGATTTCTTATTCATAGTATTCATAAGTTGTTAATTTGTCAGAATCATGTTTAAAATGAACCGAACATCAGTTCAATTTTCTTATCATCTTCGGGGTGGAGTATCAGTGACAAAAATGTGGTCTACTTTTATGATTATTTGGATAACTCAAGTTACTGTTGGTCTAAAATAATTGTCATTTCTTTCATTTGTATAGAATAGAAACATTATTTCTAATACCTAGGTAGGCTAAAATGTTCAAGTCAAGAACAACATGTGGTTTAAAGTGTCATTATTTATTTATTTATTTATTTATTTATTTATTTAAATCAGAAATCACAGCATGGATTGACTTATTATATTCTAAGTTAGGCCAATGAGGGAGCGACCTTTTAGTGATTGCATTCTGACTTGATATTTAGCAGCAGGTAGCTTGTTCTTCCAGTTTGCAGTTTTGTAAGGTTTTGTCCTAAATGTCAGACTATATATCACATTCCCTGGCTGCTAATTTGATAACCAGTTTTTCCCTGTCTGTTCATTTGTAACGGACTTGATTTCATGCTCTTGTCACTATTGTATATAGATGTTACCAGTTATGCTGAATCGGATGTAATTGGTTTTTGGCTGTCTGTCTGTGTGTAATTGGCTAGATTTGATATTTTTGTCAGTTTATATTTTTCATCTCAAGTCAATAATATATAGTTGATATACAGCAATTACTCGATCTATTCAATGGGAGAAAAGTGTAAATTTTTCAGATGCTGTATTTTTAAGTAATAATTTCTTCAAATTGGAACATACGTATTGAGTGGTGGGTACAAAATTAACAAGCAGGCTACTCTATAATTCTGTTCTATACAGGAAAAGCACCGCAAAGTGCTATATAGACACTCTACTTTTCAGAATTTTTGATCAAATTGTTTTGAAATTGCAAACAAATACTATAATAATATCACTGGAGATACATGTAAGTAGTGCCACAAATCTTATGTACTCTTGATATGTTCTCAGCTATGTTTGTAAATAGACTTAATAGAACCTAGCTGAGTCTGCTGATCAGGCTCGGTATAGGGCGTATTTCCATACAAACTGGAACGGCTTAACTGAGTATGCACCACAACCTGACATTTTACACTTGTCTCATTTGGAGCAGGGGTAAATGGGCGGGGCAATGAGGATTGTGTTTAATCTCTAATGGTGAAAATTGATCACATGCTCCTTTGTCAATTATTATAGAAATTGGTAGGACAACATAGGGATAAGAATGGTTCGTTATGGTTGAAAATTGATGGGACTTCAGAGGGATTAGTTTGGCTTTTTATTTTTAGAAAGTTAAATTAAGTGGTCCTTAGTCCAATTTTATGGAGGCAACAGATGGATTTGTCTGGCCCATTGAAGTTAAAAATTAATCCTGTTCGCTTGGTCTTCATTAAATAATTAATTTAAACAGTTACAAACTAAACTAGAAATGCACCGTAGCATGCCTGTAGATGTATTTTGATTGATACCTGGGCAGGCTGGTTTTAGACATTTTATGTGTTTACCTGTAACTGTGAGAGAGCATTAAGGCACTATGATTTGTGGAGGTAAGGTAATTACTCAATAAATTTAAATGGAATGGGGTAATAACTTTCCCCAAATAGTATTGTTAGTTATACTTTAAAGATGATGGCTTTAAAACATTGAAAAGTTGCATTTTTTATTATAATTATTAATTGTAAGCACATTTTTGGGGCTTTGTTGAAAATGATAGATCTTGGGAGGTGGGATATTAAAAATGATGAAGTGTTTGAAAATGTAAAGTAATTACAGTATACAGAAAAACATGATAAGATCAGAGCTTGAACACAGTATTTACTTACTGGACTGATGAGACAGGGTCTGATTCAGTTAAATTTTCTGTAGTGAATGAATAATCAAGAAAACAAACATTATTTGAAGATAATGTATAGGTAGACAGTTTTTTTAATTTATTTGTCTAATTATTTATTATTTTTGTTTTACTTAATTTTTTCAAAGGGTATATTTAGAATAACTTAATTTTGTTCACATCATTACACAAGCTTTTAAACTAGAAAGGTGAAAGGTCAGTTTAAAATTCTTGATGCAGATTATCTTAACAGGTGCAAATTCTTATCTTTAATGTAACATCTGGAGCTTAAAGCTAAATTATAATAGTTTACACATTTAACTGACATTTGTCTTTTTAATTCCAGATTAAGCTGGAGCATTATTACCAGATTCTCAGGGAAAATGGTAAGTCTGTTCTTACTAAAATAAATAGTTATTTTTTTCTCACAAGTTGAAATTCATTAATTAAACATTAATAATAGCCACTGTAAATAATACAGGATGATCAGCCATTTTTGTCCTAAATATGCAGGCTGTTATACCAGCATATATACTGTAAGTCATAATTTGTTTTTACATAGGAACGATACTTTCAGATCTAGAAAGTACGTTATAGTAAAGGTCCGGTTTATACAAGGCCGTTAAATGCAAGACATGTACAAGACAAAGTACTGTACAACACACTTTGAGCAGCCAGATAATATATGTTAAAATAATTTCTGAATCAATGAGTAATCAGTGTTGCTTCTTGGCAGGGTTGATTCCCAGGCAGACCAGGGACAAAGGAGGAGGAGATGATGACAGACCAGTAGAAGACACTTTGCCTGTGGATGGTAAGTGAACACCAGAGTGGCGGAACGTTTTTCATTAATGAGTGTCTTGCTTGAGTCATCCAGTAGAATTAGAATCAAGAATGTATATCTAATAAATTCTGGAATTTACATGGAAAAATTCAACAACTAACCTGTCTTTCTCTGACCTTAGTCAGTAAGTGGATGTACTGTTGAAAAACATTTTTATTTCAGATGACACAGACAAGGAGCAGTCATCTTCAGCCAGCACCAAGCCACTGCCCTTGCCAGGTCCAGTAAAACCAGCTGTGGGATCATCAGTGGAACTGAAAAACCCTAAGACCAAAAATATTTCAAAAGCTCCTCTTGTACCACCTGTACCTTTACCAGTGCTGCCATCTACCGGAGAGCATGTGGTGCCACCTATGGCGAAAAAAGACGAGGATGCAGATGATGAAGAGATGGAGTCATTTTTCTTCAGTCTGATGCCTCCAATATCTCCACTTCCTGGATCTCCTTGTGTAATGGTGAGAGCTTTCATGTTTTTAAACAAATGAATTAATATTTTTATGATT